ATGGCTTCACCTTGATGGGGTGTCCCAGAGACACTTTCCCATGGCAGTCCTTTCTGAGACCAGGCTATCACTTTTCTGCCAGGGGTCCTGCGTCCTCCTCACTGCCCCCCACAGCCCTGGCCTTCCGAGTGGGTGCCCTTGCCCTGCCTTATGCCCCAGCCTGTACAGGCCCTCATCCGTTGTTAGCGTTAGGAGGGGCCCAGTGCCCCCCAGATCTAGGGAGTGGTGAGGAAAGGGGTTGTACCCTTAACCCCTGATTGGGGAACTGGTCCTGCAGCCTCTCCCTCCACTTGAGGCTGTAAGGTCAAGGTTGGATGGAGGTGGAGGTAGGGGAAGTGGGGGTTCTCACCAGGGGCCCAACCCTAAGGTGGAGGAACCTGGGAAGACCCTGTACTTGAGGCCCTGCAGGCAGCCTTGGTGATGTTTATGCCACCTTCTGAGCCCTTCCCCAGCATGTCCTCGTGTGCACACGCCCACCTGCCTGCCACACACCTGTTCGGTCTTGCCTGAATTCCAGACCTCAACCTCCACTGTGCCCGAACATGTGTGCTCAGGGTGGCTTTCTCCCTAGGACACTCTATGTATATAGCTAGTTTTATAACTCTGAATGCCCCCGACCCTTCCCCTTAGCAACAGGGTGTCAAAGCTGTGTGCTCCTCCCGGTGGCTGTGATGGTGACAGTGACATCCACAGTAAAGAGGAGATTGAATGAGACTGTGGCCTGGCTGTGTTCCTGGAGAGAGATCCACGTGTATGCATGCGTGCACACACAACACACACTGTGGCACCCCACGATCAACACATAATGCACTTGGGACATCTGGCCCTGTCAGGACCTAACCCCATCACCTGTACCCTGAGTAAAACACCAGGCAAAGGCATCCATCCAGAACACAGCCAGCCCAGAACCCAGTGACAGACTTGTAACCCACCACACTCAGGTCTTAGCACTGTCCCCATGACCCAGCCCAACCCCCCAGCTGGGCACACAAAAAGATCACTGGCACATTATAAGTGTTTATTGAAGTAAACAGAACTGCCTCCCCCCTTCACATGCAGGTGGACCCCCACTATAGCTCCTGACAGCTTCAAGGACGGGTGCCTTCCAATCTCCTCACCAGCCCCTGCACCATGCCCAGATGGTGCCAGGGTCTCCATATTTCAGTTTCCCTCTGAAGCTCCTCTCCCAGCACAGACGGCAGAGGGGAGGACAAGGCTGGGTCCCACGGACAGGGCCCTGCATAAGACACAGCCCCGAGGCAGGAATGAGGGGAGTGAGCATGCACTTGGTCCTGTCCTCCACTCCAGGCAGATATGGGGAGATGGAGGGGGTGCTGGGTGTGCTGCTGGCCAGCACTGTACCTGGACACTCCTTGGCCTTTCCTAAAAAGGACAGGTTCCACCCCCACCCAGGGGGCTGGCCCCAGCGAACCAGAGCCTGTGCTGTCTGCCAGTTCTAGCGCTCACTGAGGCCCCAGCAATGACCAGGGCAGATTGGAGAGGGGTGATGAACCCGTCCAATGCAGCGGCTTCCAGGGGCCCCCAGATTTTGCCTTTCAGACTGGCCATGGTGAGGATTCACCTGTTAAGCATCACCCAGGCATTACTGGGGGTGTCCTCTATCCCCATCAGCTCCTAAGTTTGCTGTGTCCCCAAAGAGGGCTCATGTGCCCTCTGAAGGAGCAGCAGGAGGAGAAGTGGATCCTGGCTTGGAGAGTGGGTCAAAGGCCAGGCCTCGAGTGGGCCCCAGGAAGGGCAGACCTGTGTGGATCTCATCTTGCCCATTGGGACCCACAGGACAGGGAAGGGGAAAGGAGAAGCAAGGGTGAACGGCCCTTCCTTCTCCTGAAGTCCTCGCAAAGATCGCACTGATCCCATGCTGATTTCTCCACTCTCCTGTTGAGGAGGTGGGCTGGGAGTCTACCCTGAGTGTGACTTGCTGTAGTGCCCTTTGGGCTTCCTGGGGGTGCAGAGCAGAGCTCCCCCACCACATAGCCACCTTGGAGAGCTGGAGAGGAACAGCACTATCCACCCTGCTGCCAAGATGCTCAGCCTACCTCTCTGAGCCCTGGGACCCTGGCCCCATCTCAGGGCTTCTGGCAGGCAGGCAGGTGTCCTAGCTCACTTCCAGCCTGAAGGCAGAGGGTCAGCCTGACCTAGGCTACTCTGGGCTCCCAGACTTGCTCCAGCCCTGGCCTCTCTGCCCTCTTCCTTTCATCTGCCACCTCCCCCAGAAACTCTGTGCCAAACAAGTCCTCGAAGTCAGATTTATTACTGGGCCCTCTCCCTGGGGTCTCCCTTTCTGGGGGCTCTGGGTGCAGACAGTGACACGGTGAGAGAGGGCATGTACGCCCTGAGAGCATGGAGCCAGGCCAGCCCAAGCTTGGCGCCCAGGCCCAGCCTCCCTGGTGAGGCCTGTGCCCGCCGAGCCCAGTGGCTGCCCCGTGCCTGGGTGCCAGCGCCTGTCCCTGCCTCTCCTACGTCTTCTTGGCCTCCTGCTCCCTGCGCCGGAGCTTCTCTCGCTGCCGTGCAGCCTTCTCCTGGGCCTTGCGCTCCTTCTCAGCAGCCACTGCCAGCTCCTTCAGCTTCCGCTTCACTAGCGCCCGGTCATGCGAGTTGCTGAGCCCCAGGCTCTGGGGAGGAATCCAAGGGTGAGGGAAAGAATCCTGGATCATTCCTGGTCCTGGCCAACCCTAGCCCCTGGTGTGCTCTCTCTCTGGAGCTCTGGGAGCCTCCCTGCAGCCTGTCCGCCACTTCCCACACTATGACTTGCCAGTGGAAGATTCAGGATGGGGGAGACAAGGGTTGAGGGTACCAGGCACTTTGGCCACCCCCAACCCCCAATCCTTGGCTCCCATTCCTTCACTCAGGATTTCAGCCTTAGCATGATCCTGCCCAAGTTCCTGAGGCCCAGAGATGGGGAGTGATTTGCCAAGTCATGTGAGACTCCAAGGAGCCCCATGTGGGCTCAAGGTCACACAGCTAGTCAGTGGCCAAGGCCCCTTCCCACTGCCAGAGACTTCCTCACCACCCCTCACCACTCCTTCCCCAAAAAACTCAGCGGAGAACAGGAGACAGGCCAGGAACTTCCCAGTACAGAGATCAGAGGCCACCCCCCGACCACCACCACTACCATAAGCCTCCAAGACAGAATCAGGCAGAGCTGACCAAGGGAGAGGCCTGGCTTCTCATGACACCAGGCAACTCATAAGGGTCAGGGGCCAGCTGACTCCTAGAAGGCAGGGTTGGCCTGGAGATTTGGGCTGGAGCTTGACCAAACAAGTATTGGGCTTGAGTTTCAAGTCCGACTAGGACTCATGCTGGAGCACAGAGACTACACCAAGGACCATGCCTAGAGGTCAGAGGTCAGGGCAGTGGCCATAGAGGGTGAAAAGGTTGGGCCAGGAGGTCGGGCTGAAGGTCAAAGGCCAGGATGTGGGGCTCCAATTCCTTGAATGTAGCCTCAAGGTCAGGCTGGTCATGGCCCTTCTACTCTGACCCACCTTCAGTTTGCTCCCATCCAGCTGCAGTAGCTGCGGCCCGTCCACCTGCCGTGCAGCAAACTCAGGCGCATACTGCTCCAGGTTGAGGCTGTGCAGCCACTGGCCCACCTGCTGACTGGTCCAGTGTTGCACAGTGGGGAGGGGCTCATCCAGGAACTGGGGCAGAGACCAGGGAGGGTGAGGGGTAGGCTTGGCCTGTGGCCTGAACACCTGGCAGAGGTCAGGACTCCAGCAGACACTATGGGCTGGCCTTGCTCACCTCATCTGAAGACTGGGACAGCGTGTGATAGGGGTAGGAACACTTGGCCTCCTGCCGGGGACCACTTGGGATCTTGGGGCTGCTGCTGGGGGGCGTGGAGTCATCACTCAGGGTGGATTCCTAGACAGGAAGGGATGCATGCCGCTGAGGAGAGAGTTCACACCCAAGCTCAAGGCCACCCCCCATCCCATCACTCCTGTCTGGATGGATTTGAAGTCTTGGACTAGGCATCAGGAGTTGCTCACTGCCCCCCTGTGTATGAGCCAAGAGCTGGGTGGGCACAGAGGACATGGTGACTCATTGGGGCATCAGGACTAAGGCCTCTGGGAAAGCAGGCAGCCATCTGGAGGACAGGGCTAGAACTAATCCAGGCAGAATAGTTGGCAGGAATGGAGGAGGTCTCAGGCTAGGTGTTACTTCCTACAGGCAGCCTACAGGATTCCTTCATGCTGGGCCAGGTGCCTCTCACCTGGCCTCTAGAACCCTGGCTTGTAAGTGCCTGATTAGAGATCTTTGTTCTCACTGGACTATGAGCTCTATGAGGGCCTGGGCTTTGTCTTGTTCACCACGGTATCTCCAGGGCCCAGCACAAGGAAGAGAAGAACGGAAGGGATGGAGGGAAGGAAGTACCATTTGGAAGGGACTCCCAGGAATTCACAGCTTTCTGATTTTCTCCTCTGCCCCAGCCGCACATAAGGAATAGAACCAAAGAACAAGCATTGGGCCGAGGGTCAGAGTTTTGCTACTAAATCTATGTGAGTCCCTTCTCTCTAGGCCTTCATTTGCTCCTCTGTACAATGGGGACGAGCATGCCTGCCCGCTCTACTTCACTGAGCCTCTGTGAGAGTAAAGCCAAAAGCACGTGTTTGGGGTTTTGTGAACTATAGAGTGCCGTAAACAAAAGCAGATGCTTGTGTTGCTTGTCACTTGGTCTCACATCTCTCACAGGGTTGTGAGCTCTCAGAACACTAGGTTGGGGTCCAATCATCTCTATATCCCCCAAGCCTCACCCTACCAAACAGATGGCCCAGCTCCTAACACAGGACGTGGGGTTAGAACTGAGCCAGGCTGAGCAGTGAGCAGGAATGGAGCAGGCCTCAGGCTGAGTGCATAGTGGGGGAATCACAGTGTTCAGTGCTGTGTGTTGAACGGATGAAGCAATGAATGAATCAGCA